TTATTTGTATTCAAAATACACTGAATTTTGTCTATTATTTCACACAAACTAAACTAAAAACATTAAAAACCTTAATAATTAAAAATAGTAAAATTGATACAGCTTACTTTTGTTTCAACCGCTAATTCAACCGCTGATTAAATTAAAATAAATCAAATATAATCACAATTAAAACAATAAAAATGTGTTGAATGTGGAGGGGGTGTCCGTTGTGTTCAGGTTTTGGGGGTATATTTGGACACCGCTCCAAAGCTACGTTAAGTTTTACTATTCTTTACTTAAATCATTACACTTTTAGTTTTAATAATAAAACAAATTAACTTTAATTAAGAATTGAATTTCACTTTACATTGTCTTAAGAGCTGAGCGACTGTTCAGCTCTGAGACTAAACATACACTGCTTTACATTAATTCATTTGTATTGAGATTTGTATTCAAAGTGAGAAATAGTATGAATAATGAAAAGCTTATCAAAAGTAATTATTAGTAATTATAAGTTATTTATAAGTCATTTTATATTAATTGTATTGAAGATTAAATAGTGATGAATAGATAAACCATAGCCTCTGCAAATGTTGTGTTCAATGTAATGATAATTGTAGTGATAAGCACACGTTGTTCATCACAATTTGTACATAAATTACAACATGAAATATAAAATTGTATAAAAATTATTTTTTGAAACTTAAAAACTTTGTTTTGTTTTGTTTTTTGTTTAATTGCAAAAAATTTTTTTGAGTGCATTTTCCTTACAAAAACCGTTGAGATCACAAGCTAGATTATGATATATTAATGCGGAAATCATTTCCCATAATGTTTTAAAACATTAATATTTTATATGAAAAAATGAGTGTATAATTATGTGAATAATATATTGAATTTCTCGATAGTTTACAGACTTTAATTAAAAATATAAAATTATATTTCATATTATATTATTGCCGTATTTACCAATTTAGACTTTTACGAGAAAAATTAATTATAATAATAAATATTCATTACTTTTTATAGAAATATTTATTAAAAATATACTAAATGTTTGTCTTGTTTTTAATTAACTATTTTGTAATTTACATATATTTAATTGATGTTATAATTATAATGTTTATACCTTTATAAATAAACTAAAACTACTTTTAATATTTATAAATAAAAATAATTAATTCTCGAGAAGGCGTACAATATTATTATAATTGCAACAAAAAACTCATATTAAAGCCTAAAAACTAAGTCCGGATCTAGAAATTGGTAATAAATAATTGAAACATAAAATATACAAATAAAACAAGACTTTTATATTTGAAATGTTAACAGAATTGTAAAGAATACAGAATTTGCAAATGAAGTCCATATTCTGGGCATAGATTTGAGTGTAAAGTGAAGTGAATATAAGTTTTCAATCAACAGATGGCCAACACTTTGCCATTCAATTGGCATTTAAATCATGTTTACATCATATGAGAGACGAAAACATTAATATTTTATTATTAATTTTATTGTTGTTTTATATAATTTGCATTTCATAACCAAATGCAATGTTTTGCCACATTTTAGTTGATTTTACAATTAAAATGTCATAAAAGCATTGCTCACAATATAATCAATACTTAATATTTACAACTAATAAATCAATTGATAAAAGAGTGGTTCAAATCAAATGAAAGTGATTTGTATTGTGAATGCATTGATGTGTCGCTTATCATAGCATTCATTGATTGTCACAATCCCTACAATACTTGAATTATATGAACAAATAGTGTCTTGTATTGCATTTCAAGGTATTTAAAGTTTTATTTCATTTATCATTCATTTTCTTATCATTTAATCGCTTTTTTAAACAATCATTTTTGTTGTGTTTTTTGCAGTTTTTTGTTGACATTTTATGTTGAGATATAAGGAGAAGAATTTGACTCACATTTGATGAGACAATTGATCCCAAACTTCAAGTATTACTAAAACAAGAGATTAATTAAAAAAGAGGCCATAGTTTGAGATGAGAGTCGGTATTAAAGTATTGATAGTTTTGTTTGTTTTAATAGCGTTTGTGTCGATAATTATTGAACCAAAACATAATGGCTTTCATTGTAACGACTCATCCATTAGACAGCCATTCAATGCACTTCAGATCACTTTAGCTCAACTGCTGACCATTGCAATGATAATACCCGTCATTGTTGTGATTGTCATCGAAAATGTGGCCAAAAGTGTACCCAAGACTCAAATCAAGACAATTATTTACCAGAATATAAATGCATTCATTTTCGGACTCTTTGCCAACTTTTTGGCCGTAATGGTAGCGAAGAACCTTATCGGGCGCCTCAGACCGCATGCCATCCACTTCTGCAATGCCGACCATTACTGTGCAGACGGTCTGTCCATTCATATGCTTTTATTGACAACTTTTTAAATATATTTTGTTTATAAAAATAGGTGTAAACGACAAATACATAGAATCGTTTGAATGCGTGAACAAAGATTACCATGGTCACTTCCTCAAGAATGTGAGACACAGTTTCTATTCAGGCCACGCATCCATTGCCACCTATTCCGGCATTTTTCTCATTCTGTATCTCAACTCCAGACTTAAGCCTCAGATGAAACCAATTAAATACATTTTGTTGGCCTTATTTGCCGCGATTGCCATCACATCCCTATATCCCGGTTACACTCAATGGCACAACTCGTGGCACTTCCTCAGCGATGTCTTAACCGGTTATACAATCGGTTTGATATCCGGTTCACTTGTGTTTAAATTTTTGGTTTATGTCGAAAACAGTGAACAATTGAACGCCTCATACATTCCGCTCAACAAACTCTTGTCCACCATTTCTGGTCAATAGTTTTGGAACACTATTTGAATATATCTTTTAAACGAATTATTATTGTTTGGAAATTATTATTATTTTTTAATATTATTCTTAAGACAAGAATTTTACGCAAAATATATTTACAATTATTGTTGAGTCACATATTTATTGTACAAAAAAATTGTTAAGTTTTTTAAATTAAAGTAAATCAAAATTATTTAGAAAATATATTAAATAATGAATTAATGTTAAAAATATTTTACAGATTTTTATAAATACGAGTATTAAATGATTTTTGAAAAAACATTTATATTTGTTTAATGTATAAAATATTAGTCTAAAACAGAATTTATTATTAATTTGTATCACAAATGACTTCATTTTGGATTAATTTGTTGTCTAATGTCCTCAACAGTTGATCACAGGCTTTGTTCACCACATTTGTATACTTAAGGAAACAATAGTGTCCTCCGGAGCGAAATGAGACCACTTTTATAGTGTCGTCAACTGATCCTAATTTGCAAATGAAGACATTAATTCAATTATCCGTTAATATTTTGCCACAATTAAAGGCATACCATCTTTTTCAAGGCATCCGTTCTCATCATATATGGAGATATTGTCTTCATTTGCGCCCAAAATCTCTGCCATTTCGTAGAAAATCTCTTTCTCGATGAGCCGATCGTTTTCGCTAAATACTAAGAGTACCGGTATTTTGCTTTCTCTCAGTTTTATGAGCTTTTCTTCGAGCTATAAGTAAAATATGATTCAATTAAAGACAGATCTATACGTGAAATAATACACAATGTTTAGCCGTCGGATGACATACTTGTTTGAATCGTGAATATCTCATAGTAGAGGCCGAGAGTATAACGTTATTCATATTATCCGCTTTAACGGTAACTGTTTTGGTGATGTTGAGGAATGCGGTGCCGAAGATCTGGAACAGAGTTCGGCCCCATTTGTTTTGGTACACTTTGACGCCGCCCTCCGTATACCAAACGGGTCGCATGGCTTTAATCCTTCGGTGTCCGCCCGGGTTTAGCAATACGAATGACTCGATTCGCGGCCCCTTTTGGTCACACCATAACATTGTGGTCGGATATATAGCACTCGAATGGGCTATCATTACATCGATTCTGTTGCCCAACAATCATATTGTGGTTAGTTTTTGCTTATTCTTATCATATTATTCTCCCATCTCTTACCTGTTTATTCCGATTGCTCTCAAAAAGTCTTTTATGAATTCTGTCTTTTCTTCCGCTGAATGTCGAAAGATATCGGTTTTTATTGTCACCGAATAGTCTGTTAAACAGTTTAATAAATCATTAGATTATTATATGAATAAAAATTTTATACACTATTAAATACTCGTTTAAAAACGATTTATTACTAAAATATAATTTAATATATAATACTCTATTGGACTTTACATATCAATTGTGTAGTTATTCAAAGATAAACGGGAAATATTTAAACATATTTTACATAATAAACGACAAAAATTTGACAATTAATCAAATGACTTATCGCTATCACTAAAGTATATAAAATTACCAAAACTTAACAATTGTTAATTATAATAAGAGTTGTTATCATCGCTAGAGTTTATACTAAATAGTAAAAACATAATCAGGAATCAAGGGCTGAAAGATAACCATTATATTAGGGTTTAATAATCTTTTGTTTTTTTCAGTTCCTTTGTTTCAATGAAAGAAATCTATTGTAAAGCCTTTTGTGTCCATTCATTCATTTGAGTCAAATAAATGAATGTTAGCTCAAAAGATTTGAAGGACAATAAAGTTTTGAAGAGTTATAATGATTTAATAGGAATTAAAAGATAATTGTATTTAATGCCAGACCTGGAAAGTTAGGAGCAATCACTCGGACACCGAGTCGTGTCATGTGTTGTATAACGGCCTCGAAGTCGGAGTGAGATCCGGGAGCGCCGTGAAGACAGACCATGAGTTTTGTGTCACAGGAATCGCTGTCCCAATTAAGAAGCGACAGATTGTCGGCGTATTCGACATCGAGAGTGAGGCCATTCTTCGGCGCCCTTTCATACAGTGGTTTGTTTTCTTTCCAGCGCTCATACAATTGGCCACAAGTTGTGATTTTTACGTGTTTTACCGGATATTTTGCCTTTTCTTCTTTAGTCATGATTTCGTGATTTTATTATTATTTAGCGTTTTCTTTGCATTTAGTGCTAAACAAAGTAAATCTGAAAAAAGTTTTGAAACATAGTTTTAAATATAAACCAAAAGTACGAAATATTTCACAAAACAAAACCTTGATTTTTGGTATTCGAGAGAAAAATAGTAACAATTTAGAGGTTTTTGATTAAAAGATTATTTTTTATTCTAAACAAAATCTTATTTACGAGAAGATATCCATTATTTACA